GAAGGCAGTCGCCTAACCGAGCCACCCAGGCGTCCCACTATTCTCATTTCTAGTAGATTTTTCCTTTACTGTGTTGGTAGATCAATCTTTCTGAAGGCTGGCCCTGATCAACCACTCTCCAGTCCTAAAAAGTCATTTACTGAAATGGTCCCTAATGCCTACAAAATAACTGGAATTCTTAGCCAACATCTCCTCTAAATCTACCTTTCAAGTCTTCCTTCTCACTATTTCCGGGACCTTATTCATGCTCCAGGAAAATCTGGACTACACATTAATACAGATGATTACCAACTTACAGTGGTTTGACTTAATGATTTTTGACTTTACAATGATACGAAAAAACACACATTCAGTAGAAACTGTACTCCAAATTTTGAATTTTGATCTTTTTCTCAGCTAGCAATCTATGGTACAATCCTCTCTCATGATGCTGGGTGGTGGCAGTGAGCCACAGCTCTGTCAGCCCCATGATCACTATGGTAAATAACCAAAACACTCAACAACCATTCTGTATCTATACAACCTTTCTGTTTTTCACTTTCAGTACAGCATTCAATAAATTACACTTTATTATAAAATATAAAACATATACATATGTTTATAAATTATAAAACAGGCTTTGTGTTACATGATTTTGCCCAATTATAAGCTAATGTGAGTGTTCTGAGCATGTTTAAAGTAGGCAAGGCTAAGCTATGCTGTTCTGTAGGTTAGATGCATTAAATGCATTTTGATTTACAACATTTTCAACTTACAATAGGGTTTACTGAGATGTAACCCCATTGTATGTCAAGGAAGAGCTATAGTCTGAAAACCCTAGACAAAGTTCTACCATGAAAATTCAGTCTAGGATCTCATGGTGCAGCTCTGATTAGGCAAAACTGAAAAGCAGAGAACACATCCAAGATAGCAGTTCAGTAATTCATATATAAAGTGATAAAGACTGTAATACTACTCAGGGTGATAGCAGAGTGAATGGAAAAGAAGGGACGGAATGAGTCATTACAAAGGAACAATCAGCAAAACTTTGTGACTCATAGGATATGAGGGAAACTGCCAATGAGGCCCAAAGGACCCATCTACGACTAGAGGAGAGCTAAGAACCAACAGTTCTTTCCACCATTCACAAATAAGACTACTGTTTTCAGAGATTAGTATCATAGTTGAGTCTTTCTCTCAACAATCTATGGAGTCAATAGCTGTTAAGAGTGGCCTGTCAGCAGGAGGAAAAAGAAAGCTCAAGTATCCATGTGCCCCAAGTGCTTAAACATTTTCAGCCTGATTTTAAGGTTATCAAATTACTCTCTAGCTTTAGATTTTAAAACCAAATGTTCTAAGAACTGAGAGGCAACTGAATAAATGCCTATAATACCCAGTAAAGAGAGGAGGGCATCTATAGTCACAACTAAATAATTACACAAGACTATTCTGAGCCACACTTGCCATCTATTGACCCAAAAATATATAGGGAAGTACCAGCCATTCCTTTTTAGTGGGAGCCCTGTAGCAGCTCCTGTAGCAGACCAGACAGCCTTCCAGGAGTTACTGTCTTTGGACCATGAAATATTAGTTTGGGAGTGAGGGAATCAGACTCACCTTGGGCAGATGCAAGAGTTATCCTGCCTTAAAAGTCTTATATTGCACAGAAGCTAATAACCTCTTGCAATAACTCCA